CAACTCAAGAATTTTACTAATTACTATACAATGATTTCCTCAGGCCCCAAAGATTAATTCAAGCTTTAGAGCTTTCAAATGGCTCAATGACAATAATTGCTATAGTAAGAATGTTGTTAGCTACAATCATACCTTTTCAACATACATACATACATAATTAGTACAACACCCATGTATTACATGGGTGGCGACGGTGCCTCGTTCATGGACAGATTCATAAAAATGGGATGGGTATCCGGACAAGTCAAATCCAAGACCGTCCTGGTCGGCGCCCACCCTTACCATAAATAATCAACATATTATATATAATCCGAACCTAAATATATTTGGATTAGAAGTAAACTAAATCTACCCAAGCCTAATAACGAAGCATGTATTTTTGCCACATAAGATCCCGAAGCATGCGAGCCTGCTACATAGGCTCAGCACGTTCTCAATTAATATATAGGGAGGGATTACGAAATGTCAGACTTTAAAAAGGCATATAAACACAAATATGATATTTCACAGCATAAGTATGCATTTTTTTGTTGAAAAAGTATGACATATCGACCTGAGTAACGGGTTAGGCCACTTGAAAGTGTAAAACTTCAAACTCTGTTTTACACCCAGGTAGTACAAAACAAACGAGTTCTTGCACTAAAGCTGGACTAATTTAAATAAAATGAAAATCATCATAAGTCACGTACCAATGATAAAAGGCATAGTTATGAGGCCACCCTTTGATTTTCTTGAAGCTTGTTTTTCTTGATTGGTTCCATTTTCTTCCATTTCCATTTGCTTGCTCTCCTCTGTGTTTATGTGTATAGATGTGTGTAATATATACACAACCACATATATACATATCGTTCCTTTTTTTTTTATTTTTCTTACAAGAGAATTGTTTTCTTCTACATTGCAAGATTCAGGGCCACCTAGCCAAAGTGCGACTTGTTAGTTATTATTAATTTTTTTATAAATATGTCTACAAACCTAGTAACTTAGATGTTACAGTAACACTATATAAAAACATAAATGTTATATAGTAGTTACCACCGTTCTTGTAATATAGATAATAAATAAAAAATTATCTATGTGATAGATAAATAAATAAATAAATATTTTTTATGGAGAATATTTATAATACATATTTATCAAAATTAAGTTTTATTGTACAAGTAGATTTTTATATAGATAGATGGATGTAAATTTCTTTTAAAAAAAATGTGCTTTATAAAATCGAAATATTAAAATCTACGCTCAATTATAAAGATTTATACTTTCTACTCTTCTAAGATTAATATATTTGCGCTATTTGTTCCCTTGCCATACCTAAAGATTTATATTTTCTACTTGTTTTTTAAGATTAAAGTATTTGCTCTATTTTTTCTCCTTAACCATACCTAATCTTATGAAGTATACAAATTCAAACTTGGAAAAGGAGACCAACCCCAACACTCCGTGGATACATTTCACTGTTAATGACAATTAAGAATCAAAACGATCATTATTAAGAAAACCAAGATAAAGACTCTTAATTACAATAAGTCAATTGCACAATGACAACAAAATAAAAAATAACAATAATAATTTATCATTGAAAAACTTAATTTTTTTTTGTTTCTTTTTATTTTCTTCATTAATCAATAGCATATAATTAAACTGCTCGCATAACCGACATATTTTCTCTTCAACTACCTGAAAGTCAAAATAATAATAGCAATACTAATACCATAAAATCATAATAAAAACTAAAAAAAGGACATATCGATTTCTTTCATTGAAGTCGTGGTATTGATAAATGTTTCATGTTTGTATTGGAAAGTGCAATATTTGATTGTGTAAAATACAATTTTAGTCTTGTATGTTTCATTACCTTAATTTTTTCGTCCTCTTCGAATTGCGTTTTTTATTTTCGTCCCGTATATTTGAAAAAAAATTACAAAAAACAAAAAGGTCATTTATGTTTTGCAAAAAAAAAAAAGTTCTAATTTCGTCCCTTATGTATAAAAAGAATTTTTTTGTAACCTTTTTAATTCCAAACATACGGGATGAAAATAAAAAACGCAATTCGAAGAGGACGAAAAAATTAAAGTAGTAAACATACAGTACTAAAATTGTAATTTGCTCGATTTGATTTTTTATACAATTTGATTGAAATTTGTTGGCCTAAATTCTACTTGCAAATTTTCGTGGATGTGTTGTGCTTCTGCTTGAAAGAGATTCGATTATGGATCTCTGGCCTTTTCTAGTCTTATGGGCCCTTCAAGGTCTGTTGTCAGCCCATTTTATGGAATTGATTGTAATAGGCCCAGTCATATAGACATAAAATCTGCCTAACATTATGTGGACACAAATTTAACCCAAATTAAAATTAGATACTAGTCAATGGGATAAAATGGCGTGGTATGACTACTTAAATTATTTATTTATTTTTTGGTAGCCATTTTATTTTTTTGTATCAAATTTCTTATTTATATACACTCCTTTTACTTTAATACGTGGTATTTGAAACGACGGTTCACAATGGTTCTTGAAGGAGAAGTTATTGATTTTTTCTTATTTCTCCAGAACTTTCTGCCACTGATTTTCAAAAGGCGTGACTCTTCAACTTTCATTATCTCTTTTTTCTTCGTCTTCTTTTTTTCTTTTGCTTCTTTCTTTCTCGTTCATGTTGGTAATTATCATTATTTTTTTTAGCTTTATCTCTAAAAACTCATCATATGTGTTGAAAACAGTAAAAAAGAAATGAGTTGTTATTTTTCTCATTAGCTCTTGATGATGAGTTGTGTTCTTATATCAGTACAAGGCACATGCACAACACATGCACTTACACGTGCATATCAATTGCATGATAACTTCCTAATTAACTCACTTGCTTACAAAAATTTCGTCGCCCAAATTTCCATCACCTTCTCCTTCAAATTCCCATCATCTTGCCTTCCTTGGTGACGATTCGACTCCGGCCAGTGGTCATTACTGACCGCTCGGCCCGCCCCTAGCTTCGCGAGTCCTCGATGTCTCTGCAGGTGTCACGATTTGTGGCTTTTCTAAGTCGCCGGCGAGTTTGCGTCATGTGGTGGAGCTCCCTCAGTCTGAGCCGGAAGGTCTTCCTTGGTTGCCGGCAGTCGTCGATTGGAGGTGTGAAGCCTCGATCGTCCTCTGGCTGGTATTTTGGAGGTCCTTCTGGTTGGCTTTATTGTTCACGGCGGGGCTTCCACTGGTTTGGGCTCTGGTCGGCGGCGGTTTGCAGTGGTGTTGGGTGGCGTATGGGTCGGGGGTCAGGGTGGGACTCCAGATGCTGTGGCGGTCCTGTTGCGGTGATTGGGGTTGAGGGAATGAGCCATCCTCACCCTCTCCTGTCGTCTAGTGGTGTTAGGCGGCAGGGGACCTAGTTTTTTCGAGCTCGTCTAGTGGTGTTAGACGGGTTCGGGCCGGGACTGGTGTGGGGCGGATTGTTTGCCTCTCGGTTGGTGACATGCGATTCTGGGATTGGTTCGGGCTCAGAGTTGGCTATTGTATAGGCGTTTGCGCAGTTTCGGTAGTGGTTCTTCGGGCTTAAAATCTTTCTTGTGTCGATTGTTCACTGTTGGTTGGATTGGGTTCGATTGCTTGGGGAAGGGCTTTGCGTGTTTTATTTTTTGTAGTTCTTGTTTTTGTGATGTTTTGTGTTGTTTGTGTTGTTTTTGTGTTAGTATCTGTGTTTTCGGTTTGGGTCGTTGGCCTCTGTGAGCCCGAGTGTCCTGTTGAGATCCGACACTCGGGTATTACCCTGTTGGGGTCCCTGTGTTTGTTTTAGTTTTGTGTTAGGTGATTCGTGTAGTTGTGAGTTGGTCATTCTAGCGTTGCTGGCAGGCTCTAGGCGATCTCCAGATTTGCCTCTCAGTTTTTTCAGTCTTTGGTTGTACTATTCAGCCTTTGGCTGTCTTCTCTTCGCACTTTGTGCGGTTTTATTAATATAGTACCTCTATCGTTTCGGGAAAAAAAAAACTCACTTGCTTACTATCAAAGCTAAACATATTTTCCTATAACAGATGACAGCTGTATGAGATATATCATAATACACCTCCGTGAAACTAATCTGGGTGGAGAGAATCTTTTGCACGCAGAGGAAGCCGAGAACAAAGCACATGGAAACGGCCAGGAGATAAAGGCTTTGTGAGTAAGTCAGCAACTTGAAAATTAGAAGAAGCATATCGAACTTCAATATCTTTTGCAGCTACTTTTTCTCGAACAAAATGCACATCAATCTCAATATGCTTAGTGCGAGCATGAAGCACAGGATTTGAAGCCAGAGCAGCAGCACTATCATTATCACACCATACAAGTGAAGGAGATTCAAAAAACAGACAAAGTTAAAGAAATAAGGATCGCATCCAAAGAAGTTCAGAAGTAGCATTGGCAAGACTTCTGTACCCAGACTCAGCACTACTTCTAGAGACTACCTGCTTCTTTTTGGAACCAGCCAAGAAGATTTGGGCCAAGAAAAATGAAATGACCCCCTGTGGATCTCCTGTCATCAACACAGCTTGCCCAGTCTGCATCTGTGTAAGCTTCAAGAGAGAATCCATAAACAGGTTGAAAAAGAAGGCCTACTGAAAAAGAGGCAAAGGAGAGAGGTGAGGCAACAGAGTAAAGGCCGGTAATTCAACCATGGTGATTGCCGGTCAGAAAAAAAATGCTGAGAGAAAAAAAAATCAAAAGATAGGGAATTTCGCTTTTGATACCATATTGAAAACAGTAGAAAGGAAATGAATTGTTATTTTTCTCATTAGCTCTTGATGATGATGAGTTGTGTTCTTATATCAGTATAAGGCACATGCACTTACACGTGCATATCACATGCATGATAACTTCCTAACTAACTCACTTGCTTACTATCAAAGCTAAACATATTTTCCTATAACAGATTTGTACAGTTGTATGAGATATATCATAATAATATGTAGTATTATTTTTCACGATTCTCGTCACGGAGCGCCGCCACAGTCAGCCTTGAGCCGTACGCAGCATAGTCGCCAATTTGTAAATCGATGAAGCAATCGAGTTTTGATGGGTTCCCTATTCAATTGGCATTTGACTTGATCCTCAAAATTGAAATGGAGATTGGAGTCAAGTTATTAAATTTCGCACTATTAAGATTACCAAAAAAGATTTACAATTTATTTTCCTTCATTTCTTGTAATAAGTTGTAAAATAGTCATTTTGAAATATTATTTATGAATATAAAAAAAGCCTAACGCCATCATTTTAGTTTATGTTATTTTGTAAAGAGATCCTTATAGATTATCTGCTTACATGCATATAAATGTAGAATTTTTTATTGTCAACTTCCAACGTTTTGTAATTCTATATGTTAATTTCTAAGGATTTGATAGAGTCAATATAACTATGGACTTTTTGTTGGGTTCGCTAGTACCGTACGGGCTTTAAGCAGCGGAATTTAAAATTTTCAAAGTAAGTATTTATCGTATAAATACAACACCCGTACATACTAATTGCGAATTAACTGATCGTCATCTTTAAAACATGCATCATATACAAATTTTGATTTGTTACAATAAAGTAAATACTAGTACGAAATATTTACCGAGTGTCTTGAACTCCTTCAACAAAGATGTGGATTGTGGGAATCGGTTCCCGGTTGTAACTTCAACGGCTTGAGGTTACTCGCTTTAGGAATCCAAGTGTCTTCCCTCTAATCGTATCCACCCTATGAAGCCCGGTTCCGACTACCTTCCTTCGCTAGTAGGAATGTCTCGGTTTTCTCGTATAGGAATATATATAGATATATATTTTGGGAATTATCAAGAACACTTTCTTGAAATATATGAAGAACACTTTCTTCTCTCTTTGAATTTCTCACAAAATCACTTAGCTATATTTGCAAACATTTTGCATCTATTTATACTAAACATTTTAGCATAAAATAATCAACATTTAGTAATATTTAAATAAAATCTAATTTTATTTAAATACAATTACTAACTTTTGACT